TAAGTTTCTCTTTAGAACTAAGCTTATAATTATTTATTAAAGGTTATTCTACCTTAGATAAATAAGCTAGCTTAAGACTAGATAAAGAAGAGTCTTCTTCTTCTTCTTTTTCTTCTTCTTCTATTTCTTTTAACTCTTCTAATATAGAATTACTATTAGGTATAATAGTAGATTCTATAGTAGAAAAGAAGAAGCGTTATTTCGAAAGACTTTATTCTTTAATCTCTTTATAAGAATTAAATAAAAGAGACTTATCTAAAGAGTACTTTTTACTTAAATATCTTTTAATATTAGAAAGAGATATAAGATAAGTAGAATAAAGAGAGTAAGTAAATATAAATATAATAGATAGTTCTTTAAAAGGTATAAGAGTAGAGAGGTATTCTTCTTTAAACTTTAGAATAAGCTTATAGCTTTCTTCTAAAGAATAAAGACTAATAGAAGATAGAAGATTACTAACTAGTTTAATAGTAGTTTTCTTTTTCTCTCTATTAAGATTAGAGTAGTCTTTTAAGTATAAAATTATATTAATAATACTTAATTTATAAAAAGAATAAAGAACTAGATTAAAATTAGAATAATAGAATAAATAAGAAGAAGAAATAGAAGAAAAGATACTAGAAGACCTAATTAAGTTAGTTTTTTTATACTCTATAAAGAGATTAGAAGAAAGAGAAGAAGAGAAAGCGTAAAAAGATATAGCTAGATAGATAATTATTATATATAAATATATAATAAAAGATAAGATAGCGTTAGTAGTAGAAAGATAGTAGGTAGATAGTAGGTAGTTAGATAGGTAGAAGTATAAACGTTTAGTTTAAAGACTTTAAAAGCTTAGATAAAAAAGTTTATAAAGAGAAAAGAAAGTTCTAAGGTAAAAGGTAAGATCTTAAGGTATAAGCTTACCTAATATATACTATAGTTACTAGAGTAACTATTTTAATTATCTAATATCTACTTTATTTTTCTAACTATTATAATAAATTTTAGTTCTTTAGATAGCTCTATATTAGCTCTATAGTATTATAAAATAATAATAAGAATTACTTATAAGCCTAGTATAATACGGCTAGAAGAGTAATAAAGGAAGCTTAGACCTCGCTTAAAAAGTAAGAGTAGAAATATAAAAAACCTCGACTTATTACTCTTTACTAGAAATATATATAACTTTATAAGGTTAAGACTTTTCTAGAATCTTATTTTTTTCTAGGTTAGCTTAGTTAAATCTCTACGTTTAATATATATTAAGTATATCGTTTAAGAATAACTCTACCTCTTTTCGACCTACTATAAAAACAGGTCTCTAAAACCTACTTTTTTCTTATAGTAGCTAGGATTAAATTTTTGTAGTAGCCCTACTATAAGGCAAAACGATGTCTGGAATTATAGGTAGTGTAGTTCTACTAGCCTAGCCCTTTTCTTTAGCTTTTGGAATACTTCCCCGTAGATCCTTTAAGACAGATATTAAGCCTTTTAAGCTAATCTTCCCTGAACGCCTCTCGTCTTAAACCTGCAGAGTATTCGGGTCAACATCCGCAGTATAAAACTGTCCTCGCGACTAAAGGCAGCTTTATGGGAAATTCGAATTATTCATTACAGATATAAAGCAAAACACTTTGCCGAACTATCTTTAAGGAGGAGTAGATGGTCTCTCGAGACTTTATTTCGTAATAACATATTCGACAAAACTTGCGAAAAATTACAAGACCAAAACGAGGCCAGAGTCGTTTAAGATATTACCCGGTTAATTGTCCCTTCTGCAGAAAATTAGCGACATTTAGAGCCAAATATCTGGAAATTCTGGTCGAAAGTGTTAACGAATATTGGAACAATTCCATCCACGTGGAAGAGCCAAACACAACGTGTCGACTGGGGTAATTTATCCGGATCGCCCAACTGTTCGGACGACCGGTTAAAGCTTGTTCTGATCACGTATGTACTAGGGAAGTGATTTAATTTATCCATCCACACTACTGCAAGGTACAAGGAGGAGACTCGCTTCTTCCCCGCATCTCCACTTCCGTCATCCTCTCACTGAAGCTGTATAAGCAGTTATTGATCGCCATATCCGATTTCCGAACAGCCTATACTATATCCCCACCACCCAGGATGGCAGGAAAGCTTCAATTATACTCCACCCCTACGGCGCAAATTGGGGTACTACACTTAATCTAGCCCATCGGAGAATATGATTGGATCTGTATGGGACTACTTGGTTAAATACAGGCTATGAGACTAACCTCATTAGGATTAAAAGCGAGAAAGAAACAGACAGTGTTACGAGAGGTTGCTGTTTCTGCGGTACATGGCGTGTATGCTTTTATCCGGACGTTTACTTTTCTTTCGCTGGGACGTATCCTAGTAGAGAATGCAACTCTACAAGGATGTTTGACGATGTATAAGTTACGGCTGGTTTCTCTCATTAGCGATGATCTCCTCGACAGTCTCTTCGCACAAAGTCAACATGCTTTCACGTTTCGTAATTGCGAGTACTATAGTTGCTACGCTTGTCCGAGCTGGCCCTGTGATTCAAGTCAGCCCTCAAACAAAGTACCAGCAGTATGATGGTACTGGCATTTCCGAAGCGTTTCAGAGATCGCTTGTAATGCATGAGTTGAACTTGGCTTCCGAAAAGATCGTGTTGGATTATTTGTTCAGCAACACCACAGGCGCTGGCTTCACGATTCTTCGAAATGGCCTTGGTTCTTCGCCAACCGAAGGATACGATCTTATGAAGTCTATTGCTCCCGTGGCTCCCGCCTCCAATAGCAGCAAGGTATGTACCTTAACAGCCAAGATTTGAAAGAAGCTGACAGGAGTAATCAGATCGATTTCCAGCCATTTTCCCGAGAAGATCAGTATCAAATTTGGTTGTCATCACAGGCCATTTCCCGTGGAGTGCATACCGTTTATGCCGACGCTTGGAGTGCTGACGGTTATATGAAGACTCAAGGTTTGACACCAATCTTCGAGGTCTCAGCCGATTCTGAATATTAACCGGCAATCCTTAGGTACTGACTTCAACGGCGGTTACCTGTGCGGTGTCACAAATGCGACCTGCGCTTCTGGCGATTGGCGCCAAGCGTATGCGAATAAAATTGTCCGCTACATCAACAACTACAAGTCTCATGGGATCACCATCGACTTTGTTGGCTTCCTCAACGAACCCGATTTAAAGTCAGTTCCGTGCAAGCCTTTTGCTGTCATAAGTTGACCATAGCGCACAGTACTACCTACGCCTCCATGCAATCGAGCGGTCAACAAGCTGCTGATTTTATCAAAATCCTCTATCCTACGTTGCAGAAAGCTGGTCTCACCACCCAGATCGCGTGCTGTGACGGCAGTGGGTGGGAGCAGCAGCGAGAACGTCTAACAGGCGTCCAGCAAGCGGGATATGAGAATGAGATTGGACTGGTGACCTCGCATGGTTACAGTTCCAAGCCTGGAGCACCTTTCAACACGCCCAAAAAGGTTTGGCAGACAGAGTGGTCGACGTTCGACCCGCTGAACTTTGATTGGTACAGAACAGGTAGCCAAAGTGAGGGTCTTACTTGGGCGAACAATGTTCAGCGTCTGTTCGGTGTGAGCAACGTTACTGGCCATCTGTATTGGTGGGGAGCCGCGAATGACACCGTCAGTTTGTCTTACATCTTTGCGAAAATCAGGGCTAATGCGAGTCAGGATAACCAAGCACTCATCTATATCAATGGTACTTCAACGGTGAAGCCTACCAAACGTCTATGGGCTCATGCTCACTTCGGTTCCCGACTCGTTCGGAAAGGTGCGACACGCATTGGCGGTACGTCCTACTATTTGTTATTAACGTCTCATCTGGCCACTGAAAAGTTGGCTCTAAAGACTTACCCAGAACTCGACGCTCCTTTGCAGTATATCAGAAGATATGGACTAACATCTTTGACTAGCCACCGTCACCGGGAACGCAGGTCCATTGAGCGTCACTGCATTCGCTAATACCGATGGAACAACGGCCGTACAAGTCATCAACAACGGCGATAATGCGGAGACAGTAACTCTGCAAGGATTAAAATTAAATACTGTGGTCACTTATCTCACGAACCAAGCCAGTAACTTTACTGTGGGAAATGCTGTTGTATCAGGAAGTGTTGCAGCTTGTGAGGTGCCAGGCAGGAGTCTGTTGAGTTTCTACATAAGATAGTCAGGGTGGTCAATAAGCTTTGAGGGTTGAAACAAGAAATAGAGATAGATATATTCTTTAATCGTGAAATAGAATAAGTAAATATTTTCCTCTCTCCAATACCTTCTATTTCAACTCTTAAGACCTAATATCTAAAACCAAAGAAGCCCTTCAAGAATCATCCCTTTGGCCCCTTCACAAGAACCAAAAACCAAAACGAAAAGCCAAAACGAAAAGCCAAAATGAAAGACTAAAACGAAAAACCAAAACGCAAAGTCAAAACCCCTTCACAGACCCATCCTCAATTTCAATACCCCGACCCCCTTCCCCGACTCGAGCTTCTTCTACGTCCTACACTCCCCTCCGCCTGCTTCCCCCCACCCTCATACACATACATCGTCGTGGCAGCCCGCCTCAATTTCTCTTCCGTCGCCCTCTGTTCCCCCAACCGAATCCGCGCCCTCGTCTCTTCCACTTCTCGCTCGATGTCTTGAGCGGATCGACTAGCTCGTCTAGACTGTGGACGAGATGGGGGAGCAGAGGTAGAATAATCGGTGGAGAGATCTGGGTGGGACGAGTGAGAACGACTGCGCGTACGTCGATAATCGCTGGGGAAACGAGGGATGGGAGATTTACGAGGACGTGGATCAACCGATGGTAGAGGGTCGTTGCGAGAATGAGAACGGGAATGGTTACGAGTTTGGGAAGAAATGGGGACTGGCCGGCTGGTGGCCGACGGGGAAGTCGTGTCATAGGAGAGAACGCCTTCTTCAATCAACATCTCCCTCGGGCTAGATTGACGTCGACGAAGTGGTGGGGGTAGGGCGCCTGACATTGTTGGATAGGCGGCTGTGGACTGGTCCACTTCGGGCGGAGGCTTGTATGAATTGGTGCCATATGCGCGTGGGTTTTCAAGCTTGACGGCTGGGTTGGATGCCCAAGCGGAAGAGTCCAGACCGGAGAAGGTGGGTTGACGGCTGAGTGTGGGATACAGAGGGGCGTTGGATGCGAGATCACGAGATCTTGCTTTGAATGCATGCTCTCCAGCCTTGCTAGATTCGCCGTTGTATGGATGACTGTGGGATGGTGCGTTGGCGGCTTGCCATTTAATCTCCGCGAGTTGCTCTTCACTATCATCTTCAACGGTGCTATTCTATTAGCGTTATACTGGAAAAGATTGCATTATCGAAAAAAGACTTACGCAGATTGACCCAGCCTCGACTTGACACTCTGAGAAGCCTTGAGATTCGCATTCTCCCGTCGGAGCTCCTCCAAGAGCTGCATATTGGCTTCTTCAAATTCTTGGACCTGGTGAAGGCGTTCATTGTCCGCCATCGCCGCTTGGGCTTGTGAGGCCACAGCCTTGAGACGGGCGCCCTCTCTTCTTGCATCTTCGATGTTCTGTGCGAGACTTGGGCCCTGTGTTCCTGATGGGAGACCGCTGACGGTGTCACCATAGTTTGCCTTGGGTGACTCTGGAAATGTTCCAGGGAATTTGTCAGGCGCAGAGACAATGCGCTCGATGGCAGGCGATTGGTCTCCGACGGCGAGGCTGTTGTTGTACATGGTGAGGAGCTTCCGTGCAACTTTCGTGTAGACGATGTCCTGCGGAGACTCTTTGGCGTTGCCAACGGGTTGGGAAGGTAGATCTGGAAAGTCGAGGGCGGTCGCAATGTCCTTGAATGACATCTTTGCGTCTAGGATGTTCCTCAGTGTGATTTTTCGTCCACCAGTCTTGTTGACAAAGCCAACCACGCGGGGTTGGTGCGCATGAATTGCTGGAAGTGCTGGTCTGCACCGTACCTCTTCCAGTCGAAGGGTTGATTAGACAGGAGTTTGTCCACCGGCCACCCAAGGATCTGTCAGACTAGTGAGTGCGTGGTCTTGATGAATTTAGGGGAACCCTATGCTGTTACCGTAGATGATGGAGGTGTAGAATCCATCTTTGATGTTCAGATGAATCCACGCCAGGATGAACCACAAAAGCACTAGCAGAACGAGCAGGACAGTAGGATTCGTCATATGAGGACTGAACCATACAGTGTGGAGTTGATGGTATCCCGGATGATTGATCGCTAGTCGTAGGCTCTGACTGAAATGTGGTGAAGAATGTAAAGGCTGAGGGGGACCCTATGCTGAAGTACTGGGTGAGGCCGTAGGCTTGTGTTGAGGGAAGCTGCTCAAAACAACGGTCAGAGAGCACAAGTGTCTATCTTTAAATGGGAAAGGGGGGAGAGCTTTCCATGTACGACGGACGTTTGACATGGTCAACTTGGGATAGAGACCAAGTCTCAAAACGCCGTTTGACGATAAATGATGAGGAAACACGCGTTAAGCCAGTGATCGAATTGGATACTGCGACTACCAAATCAGAGCCCGCGACCAGAGAAAAGCGATGTGCGCAGCTTCCCGTCAAGAAATGTGTTTTTGACTCTGCTGCACAGCGGTAAAGCCGGTCGGATTTCATATTTCAGATTTCTCGCCATGTCTGGTTGAAGTTTCGTTTGTAGCTGTCGCGTTGACCAGCCGGCGCCGTTTGCGGTGTACCACACTGAGACTCTCTAGTCAAGTTCCAGACTGCAAGTCTCCTTCCACCACTAGGACTCTACGACCAGGACTGCTCTTTCTGCGTATCGGACTCAAACGAAATGGCAGCGGCAGCGACGGCGACAGCGACAGGGACATTCATAGTCCACCGAGATGATGGATATCGACATGACAGTAACCAGGAAACGATACCTTTCGTACCTGACCCCGCCCATGTATCGAACTGGAATCAAACGAGACGACATGACGACACTACGACAGCGACAGCGACAGGGAAACTCGCAGTCCACCGATATGATAGATATTAATACGACAAAAACAACGAAATATACCTAGGTACCTGGGTATACGTCGAATTCGGGATCAAACGAGATACTGGATCTTGACAGGAACTACGAAACTATACGCGTCGACGTCGGATCAAACGAGATGCTAGATCTTGACAGGAACCACGAAACTATACGCGTCGAATTGGAATCGGACGAGATGCTGAGAGCCGAGTTCGATAGCAACAACAAACTAATACGCATCGATCCAAAGCCAAACGAAAGTTATTTCCCATCTTCGTTCACCCCTCAGCCCGCGACTCTATTTGTCTTCAATCCGTCTTCAACTTGTCTCCAAGCATTGTTTCCAAAAACTTGGTTCTTTGCAGCTCTATCTCTCTTTCTCAATTGCAATTTCGCCAGCTACACGCACTTTGCACAAGTCCACCCTTTCGAATCATGGCACCACGCGAAAACGACTTCCCCCAGGAAGCACTCGGCCTACACCTCGCGACCCTCACGTCCAGGAAGAAGGCGGACTACACCGACAGACAAATCGCGCGCCTCGACCACTTCATCAGAACCAATCGAGGCTTCCAACGTTTTCTCAAAGCCCATAACGATAAAGTCACCATCTCCACGCTCCGCTCCTTCGATCTCACAGAGCTACGAGTAATCTTCGGTTGTGATGGCTTGGAGGGGTGCCAGACTGACAATGGCGTCGAAGTCCTGCCGATTCTCGACGAGAAGTTGCGGAGTAAATTGGCGGCATATTGGAAGAAGTTTTTTGTTCTGCAAGAGCAGAAGAAGGCCTTTGACATGGAATCTGATTCAGATGAGGATGCTCCACCCGCTCGAGCTGCGAGTCGTACCCGTCAACGCTCTGCGAGTCGCACCCGTCAACGCTCTACGACTCCTTTGGCACTGACCGAGGGATTGGGATCTCGTGAGGGAAGCCCAATAGTTGTGAACAACCATTACTACAATTCTGGGTACGTATTCATCTCAGTACTGCGTTCGCATTTGTATCCTCAGCTACCTAGGTACATCTTCCATGACATTTTCAACTGTATTTCAATTGTATTTCCGTTGTATTTCCACTACATTTTGCACCATATTTCCAGCCGCACCCTCTGTTGCATTCTTTATTACATTCCCCTCTTCATTCTCCCCAGCTACATATACTAACCATCCCTAGGGAATCCCCAACCTGCGCAAGTTTCCCCCGCCGGCGCTCACGTACCTCGAGCGAGCATCGACCTCGCACCCCAAGCTCCTCCCAACCCAACATTGCCGCACCGACCCAGCACCATTCCCAATCCAGCACCGAAACGTCCGAAGACCTTCCCGCCCTTTACATGAAGTTGCATTTGCTCGAGGCAGAGCTTGCGGCTCAGAGAGAGGAGGAGTCTGCACAGGGCAAGGGTAAGGGTAGAGCTACTTCCCGTCATCGTTCCCCGTCCCAAGTCCAGTTCAATGAGCGCACTGAAAAGGCGACCTTTTCTGATGACGATGATGAGGAGGACGACAAGAGTTTCACTTATAATACTGATGAGGATGATTTTTGTTTCGAGAGTGATCATGTGTATTGATCGGGGTGTGTTTGAAGTGTGAGGGGTGATGAGTTGGATTTTTTCAGAAAAATGGTTCGCTTTGGATCTTGTTGGGATGGAGGATTGGGAGAGTGACGATTTACGACCTTTTCTTGGATTTCTGCTCTTCGGCAAGCTTAGCTTATTGAGTGTGTTGTTGGGGTTTCCGTACGTTCTCTTGGAGATTTTGATAAAGTAGTCGACATGAATTCAAATCCGTGCTTTTTGTCTTCATAACTACTTTGGCAAAATGCATCTGTCCTTTTGATGTGTTAAGTACTTCTGCAGAAAGGAAACTGGCTTCTCTCTTCTACCTCCCACTATCTCTGACAATTGCGATCTCGTACAGTCACTCTCTTGGCCCTTGCCTTCCTGTCTATCTTCTGCTATCTCACCCTCACTCTTGAGAGCTTGCGCCATAAATCCCAGCTGCTGGCGCAAGCTCTGGTTGGGATGATGCATAGATGATTGGCTGGGTGGGTGAGGATGATGCTTAGATGATTGGCTGGATGGGTGAGGAGGATGGATGGATGATTGGCTGGGTGGGAGGACTGGCTGCCCATCGAAAGTGATAAACGGGAGGCAAGGGCAGCCGAAGGGGTTGAGAAGGGCTGAAAGGGTAGCGGGAGGGAGCAGGGCAGGGCAGGGGAAGGGGAGGGGGAGCGGGTCAACGCACGAGCTGACACTGACCGATTTCATGTACGGCTCGATATACGGGTAGACGCACTCTCAAACATCCCAATCGGCACTTACTAAAGATGGTCTGAGATTGCGAGTTCCAGATGGCGTAAGCTTCAGGATACGCTCCCTGCAATACTTCGGCATCTGTTTCATAGGATCTTTACTCATCGGGGTTGAAATATTTCCTCACCAAGCAAGTGCAAACGGCGCCAGGCGGCTGCGCAATTTGCGAGCAAAGCTTGCGTAGGCGGTCAAACGCGCACACCGGGAAAGAGCTTGCGCTAGAAGATCTTCCACGAGCGACCGTGAAAGTAGTGAGGGGAAAGGGGAGCGGGTAGGGGTCAAGGTGTAGGCGCAAGCTTATTCGTATAAGCTTGCGCCAGAAAATCAAGCTTGCGCCGTCTCATGAAGTGCCAAGGAAAATATGTATACATATAGTTCGATGCAAACGCGATTACGCGCTCTTATTCGCGCCGCTGGAATAGCTACAAGCGGCTTCCAGCTAAGAGGAGAGGCGGGTAGGTGCAGAATAGGGCTGTAAGCAGCTTCCAGCTATTGGCGTCCTAGCCCTGACAGTTTGATGAGCGCATATCGATCTCGGCCCATGTCAAGCCAGGAATGGCGCAAGCATTTCTCCGAAATGCGCCAGAACAGGAGGGGCAATTCACAGTGGGTATGGAGGATGCAATATTGACCGGCTTACAGCTGATGCCCGAGGGAGAATAGCGCTGTTTGATGCAAACGCGATGACGGATTGTGATTCGTTCCTGTTTTATTCTATGGCGCAAGTAAGCTTGCGCCAGGAAAGCAACAGAAACCGAGAGGAGAGGGCTACTTGCATGATGATGTATTGGTTCGTGTCAGTGCCAAAAGCCAATACCAAACTTGAGGGTTTTGAAGGCGCAAGCTCTTACTTTCGGAACCACTTCCGATTCAAGCTTCTTCTCTACGATCGGTCCTCGTCATTAACGCAGCGTCCCTTCCTATGCCATCAGAAATGCGTCCCTACCGAGAACTTACGCCAATCGATTCACCGGACCCCAAGGCCTGATTCCCAATCACTACCACCACCCCCACGAGATCCGGCCCGATACCTTACCGAACCTCAATCTCTGGACCGGTGAGTTGTCGTATTTTGGTAGTCGCCGATCGGGTTTGTTCTGGGCCGAATTTCTCAGGCTTACTCTCAACCAAGTTGTTTTTTGGGCAGACTTCGACACCTTACATATGGCCAAATATATCAGAAGTCAGAGTTGCACTATAGCGGAACGCCTCGAGTTAAGAAGGTATGTTTCAAGACCAAAGATTGAACGGCGCTGACATTGAAATACAGTGACGGTACCGGGTGTTGGAAATGTTGGAACCGAAAAGTGGTAAAGGTCAACGAAAGGTTTCAGTTTTGACCCAAATATCAGATTTAGGGTCTCAGCGCCATGTCTCGGAATGATTTTCTTGGATCGAGAAGCTCCTATTGAATCTTTTGATTTCATTTCTAATTCGGTGAACAGGCTACGCTCGGATCCAAATTATTCTCAACTCGTTATCTCGGGAGTCAATTCGACACAGACCAATCTCAGATGTCGTCTTCTCAGAATTCCGCGTATATCTCTCATGACAATGATCCCAATACGTTGTTGAAGCTTCGAAAGTTAAAGGTCCTAGACCTTCGGAATACATTTTTGTGTTTAGATCTCATCAAGAAGTTGAGGGTACTATGGCGGTGGCAGTACTCGCTTTGCTGATGGCATTTGGATTTTTGGGGTTGGGTAATGGAGGGATGAAATTGGCTTTGTCTCGGATAGGGAGCATAGTCTTTTGGCTATGTGGATATCTCTTCGGTGGGTGGACATACGTGAGGGGGGGTTGGGGAGAAAGGAATTACTTTGGGGAAGCTCGGGTACGTAAAAAGCAATCTTCGTCGAATTGACAGCGTGTTGAGGGGGAACTTGCAAGAGGGGTTTCTATCTACTGATGTCTCGGTTACAGAGCAAAGCAGAGTTGCACTTCTGCTTTTCTACAGCGGTGAAGAGATCTTTTCCTCGTTTTCCGTGATAATTTCTGGGATGAAGGAAGATTGCGATGACGTGAAGAGGGGTCTAGCTAGGATAGAGAGCTTTCTCGACTTGACAGTTTGGTTTTGAGGAAACTCACATGTCCAACTTATGCAGAACAGTTATGTGTGCATTGGTTATTGGCTTGAAAAAGAATGTCGACCAAAGAGTTCTCAATTTTGAGCTCGATTTTGAGGGGAATAGAGGAGACAGTGAGGGAGCGGTGTAGTAAGAGGAATGGAACTTAGGGAATAAGTAGAAGAAGCCGGATGAAATTATGAAATTACACAAATATAGAGGATCGTGAAGAACACTTCAGTCTCTAATCTCCAACCTCCAATCTCCAATCTCTAAGCTTCAACTTCCATTATCCAATCACGAAAGCCGCAACATACCAGCCCAGAACCTCTCGTATAACGATTTCGAACAAATTAGATCAAGTGACGTAGGGTCGCAACCTTGTCACTTATCTGAGACGTTCCTGATCGAGTCATTCCGCCAACCTTCCAACCTTAATCTCCGCATTGACGATATCGTACTAAAACTTCCAAAAGCCAAAGCTCTCTCGCAAACCTTTCTTGGGTCGAACATCACTCGATACTTTCACGGATCTGGGCTACCATCAAGGGGGTAAATTTATAATGTCCAGGTAAGTAAGAATTGTGTTAATTGGTTATATTTTGAAGTGCTAATGCTTTTCCCAGAAATCGACTTGCCAGCTTTTGTCGCTGAATTATATCCAAAAATCATCGACTCCTTTTCTCGCTCGCTTAATCGCCAAGAACCATCGGCCCCCTTTTCTCTCGCTTAATCGCCATGAATCAACTCTCCTTTCTTGCTTCTCTCGCTCAATCTCCGGCTTGCACGGAACAACTCTTGAACAACCGCCCCACGAAAAGGTTACTCCTTCGTGAAATTCACTTGCTTGGGTTTCTGCTACCCGTATGGATAATTGACAGGGCGTCTGTAAGTTTATAAAGTCCTTGCTTGTGTGAAAAACGAAACTGACAAATGTTTTTGAAGGAGCTCTGACAGCACCAATCTGTATCTTTCGGATTGTTCATGTTGAAATCTGTTTTCATACCTTGTGGCTCACGTTACAGTACTACACGACCTTTGCGACTCACGTCCTTCTGCACCATATGACCTTTTGCAACTTACATCCTTCAGCACCATACAACCATTTGCAACTCATCTCCTCTTTAACTCACCCCCTTCAAGACTCACATCCTTCAGCACCACACGACCTTTTGCAACTTATTGCATAACATCTTGCTTAAACTAGCACGTATATCTCAATCTCTCGTCGCGCAAACTTCCAAACAACAGCATTTGTAAGTCCAAATTCCCTTCCTATACAGAACATGTGACTAATAATATTGTAAGGAGTTTCGAGTACACCACAAAATTTTGTCTTTCGCATAAGTTACATCGGTTGCGTCGGTTACATCTTCGTCTACGACTATATCACCTCAGAACCTCGGACTTTCGACTTTCTTGCATCCAATTACACAATAACAGCCTCGCATTATTCCAAAATATCTCATTCCCGCATGGTTCGGATTTGAACGCATTACATCACCTCTCGACAGTCTTCTCGCGGAAAATACACAGCTTTGGAAACCAATCTACTCTAGCTGTTTCAACGTCCTATTCGCAAACGGATTCTATTTCATGGTATTGCCCTCTGGATTCTGTTTCCGACAAGACCCCACAGCTCTCGCACACGGTTTAGCGCAGTTGACTGAGTACTTCCAATTACCTACTGAGACTAAAACTTTCACACTCACAATCCCTTCACTTCAACTTTCGATGCAAGTAGCGACAATTCAGTTGGGTGCACAATCACCAAAGTTCAAATCAAGACGCATTAGATCGTAGCGCCAAAACATCATTCCTCGCAACCAACTTCGTCCTCTTAATCACCTGTCAAAAACTCGGAAATCGCACACAACACAATTCCCTCACTCATAAATACTACTCATACACATGAGAATCAGCTGAATTACCAAATCAACATTATTTTCGGAATTTTTGCAACCCCACGACGACAATCTCCGCTAGGCGCTGTCAACTCCATCTTATGATTACCGGTCCAGCCCTCAGAAATCGTACTTATCACAATCTCTCAACATTCTCTTCTAAGACAAGCAACTTTGACTTGTGCACCGAGACTGAGTTCAACTTCAAAACGCTCTTTAGCGCCGTCAACTCCAAACTTCTGATCGCGCATCAAGCAATAGAAAGCAGCCAGCAACTTCACCTCTT